TGACATATCATTTTATTAAGGTTATTTAATGCCATAAATCAAAATATTTTGTAAGCAAATTTATGTCTTCAGCTACAGATATTTTCTTTGGTTGGCTGATATTGTTTAATTATCAATATAAATCTCTAACAATTCCAAACCATTATTCATTACATATTTTCTTTTCCAGGCTGATTTTGTTTACTGGTATTCCCATCTCTATGGGTTATTTTATGGGATATTTTCTTTGGTTGGCTGATTTTTTTTACTGGTATATAAATATCTATGGGTTATTTCAACAAAATATGGTTGTAAGCCAAACCACATGACCTTCAAATACAAAGACCTGAATTATGGCAGAAAGTAAAAGCTGAAACTTGTCATAAAGTACCGATGAAAATTAGTCTGAAATGAAAAGGAGTTTTAAAAAACCAAAAAACCTTTTGTTTTTTTCTACTGCATCCTCTTTCTCATTTTTCTTTTGCTCTCTCTGTGAAGAATTTTAATATGTCACAAATTTTAAAAACGTTGAGAACAATAAATTTTTTAATCTTTGGACAGAATCTTTTTCTTTCCTTTTTGGATTTAAAATATTGAAAATTTTTTTTTTTTTTTTTCAAAGCTGGAATTTTTATTTTTTTTCTCTAGCTTTCTTGATTTGAAATTTCTCAGCATAGAACTTATTCTCTGACATCTCTCTCCTTCAACTTTTTGACAACTTCCTTTTCAACATTTTAGTACTTATCAAATTTGATTATTTATCATGAAATTTATCAGGACAAAGCTCACCCTTTAAAAAAAAGAAAATTAAATAAATGTGGTAGAAAAGAAAAACCGAGATGTTAGGTCCAGACTTTTGCAAATTCTACTTTTGAATTCTCATTATGGCATTTTTTTAACATTCTTGCTTCTTTTTTTTTTTTAATCTGAATTTCTGAGATGAGAAACTGTCATTATTATTCACTAATTATCCAAACATTATCTTCATCTTGGTTCTTGTTATCCTGTGCAATTTTGAAACACATATATATATATATATATATATATATATATATATATACATGTATTTTTTAAAATTTCAAACTGATTGAACCCTTTATTTAATCTTTATTTATGTTTATCAATAAATATATCCCCATTATTTCAATTTTTGCAAATAACTTCAAATATTCAATTTATTTTATTTAAATAATATATATATATATATATTACCTTTTAATTGGTTGAAACAAAACATATTTCTAAAATTAAAGAGATTCTGATTATTATTATATAAATGGATTTAGGATTTTTTTTTCATTGCAAATTCATATTATGTGGTCAGTGAAAAGTTTAAAATTATCATTTAGTGGTCCATAAAGTTCAAGTGAAATGACAACTCACTGGTCTAGAATAGAACCCTAAAATTTTCTTTGTAAAAAGAGAAATCAATGGAAAAATATTCCCAGGGCAAGTAGTCATACTTTCATCATAAATCTTACTTATTATAAAAGATTCAAGATTGTGTGTGTGTGTCTGTATGTTTATATATTGGAAACTTTTTCCTAACATTTTTCAACTGATTTCAACAAAACTTCACAGGACTTATGTCTAAATTACAATTGTGAAAGTGGTTCTGACAGAACTCAAAAATTTGAGAAAAACACAATTGTTTTTTTTCGATCAAAATCAATTGTTAAAACACAATGAAACATGGATCTGTTGAAAATGAAAAGGGACAACTCATTTGAGTTATACTTAGTAAAATAAAACCCAGGTTGTTTGTGTGTGACCATTTTATTCCCTAAGAATGGGATCCAAATTTCTTGCAAAAAAAATCAACTTTTCTATAAAACTTCATTTTTTTTTTTCTAGTTTCTTATTGTCTTGCACATTTTTTTCTTTTATTTTTACATTTAGAATTGACTTTTAAAAATTCCATTTACAAGACAATTGTTTATAATAAAATTTAATCGATAGACTCATAACAATTAAAACAATGTTTTTTTGAAATTTTCACCCCCAATTCGTAAAAAAGCCAAAAAAATGCAAAAAAAATTAAAAATGTTATTGTCCGTCAAAGGAAACAAAAGTACTTTGTCAATTTTATTTTTGGAAGTCTTTATTGATGGTTGATATTTAATCTTTTGAAGATCAAACATCCCCAGGCAACGCCAGAAGAAAGTTCCTGCTAGTTTATAAGAAAATAAAATGTTCAAAGTGAAAAATGTTGTGGTTAATGGAATAATGTTGTGAATGAGAATAATTCACACAGGTTCAGCAATAAAAAATGTCGGGATTATCAAAAATATGTTGTAGCAATATGCCACCACATTTATTTAACTTTTGATTAGAAATGACGTGGAAAAGGACAAGCAAAGATGCTGGAGGTTACCAAAAATGTGGTGGTCATATGCAATTTATATTTGACATAAAATAGCACATAGTAAAAATACAAGACAGAACGTAATGGTTCAAAACATAACAATTGAATTTATTTGTTTTGATGTATATGCATATAAGCTAAAAGTTTCATAGAGTTATGTCTCTTAGATTTGGGAAATAATTGTATCAGAGCTCACAAAGTTGAATTAATTATTAAACTGATAGTTTTAGAAAAATAAAGTTCCTGTTGCATGTTAGGAAATGTGAATTGGAAAAGTTGGTAGAGTTCAGAAAATTAAGAGTTCATACTTTGTGAATGTTGGTAATGTTCTTTAATGTCTGACTGCATGGTCAAGATGATTTCTTGAAGGTTGCATTTTGGCAGCAAAGAAGGAGACGAAAGAGAAAATGGAGAGAGAAGGCTTACTTGTGTTTTGTTTATATAAGGTTGTGTTACACGTGATTAGCTCCAACCTTGTGTGCAGGAAAATTATTCTTTGCATGCAGGAAATTTGATTGGTCAGAATTGACCAATCAGCAAGCTAGTTTTGAGGAGATTAGCCAATGAATGCTTGCCGTATGATCTGTATGTATGTATGTATGTGATGGTGGTGATAATCACTACAAAATCACTAAAAGAAACTTGAACTGGGTCAAATAGGGAATATGAATTGAAGTACCAGTAATATTTGATGAACCATCTGACAATTTATTTTTCATATTCTATTTAAACAAAAGGAAACCATCTTAGAAGCTATTTAAATACTGCATATAAGATTACTGAAAAGTTAAAACTTTTTTAATTATTCAGTCATCCAATTACATGAATATCATAGATTTCTTTTAAAAGTTTCTGGTGGTCTGTGCAAAATTTTTGATGTTCTGCAGAAAAATTTGGACATTATTTCAATTTTTATGAAGCTTCAGATTCAAAAAGAACTTGTAACAAAACATATTATGGATGGTATATATGTTCCAGACCTTATGAAATCTCGAAATAAACATGAGTACACAAGTACACAGATGTGACATTATCCAGCCATAGTATAACTTAACATGACTTGCAAATTTCAAATTTTCAATTTGTTTTATTTAAATAATTACACTAGAACTTTTTAAAGTTACTTTTTAATGGATGCATCTCATATTAATAAAATAAAAATTTTCCTATTATTATTATATAAATATATTTACCTTTTTTTTCTCAATTCATATCAGTGGTCCGCTAAATTTAAAATTATACATTCAGTGGTCCATGAAATTCAAAAGATTGGTGACCACTTCTCTAGAAAGAAGAATAGTGTAGAATAGTGTCTGTCAGTAGAATGTAGAATAGTATCTGAACAAAAGTAGAGCTAATGAGACAAAGTGGAAAACCTTTTTGCAGATGTGTTTTGCCTCCTTGTGCTAGGTAGGAATCCTTAGGTTGGAATAAAAGACAAACCTGTGTGTAAGGAATATGTGCTGAAACTTTTGAGGATGAAGAGATAAAAAAAATTACCTTATCAGATCCAACAGCCAGAAAGTACTTTTTTTTTATTCAAGTCGTTAATGTCTGTTGAATTTAAATAGATTGTTTTTTTTTTCTCTCTATTAGCTTCTATACTGCTTTATGCTACTATTGGTTTGTGATGACCAGTAATGTTATGTATGAGCCCAGTTTGAGTTTTATTGTGGAGAATTGTGAGATCAGTGCACTTTCAATGCATTTTCTTTTTAATAAATTTTTTTCTCTTTTGATTAGACAATGATGCTTCCATGTATAAAATGCTGGTTATGGACAAGATTCTGACTCGGATGTTCTTAGGCAGACATTAATATTATTTAAAGCTGAAACTCTTTCTTTTTTCCTTCTTAGATTTCATTTAAATTATTTTTTTTGGTTCACTTGACTAAAGCTGTGTTGTGTATGTGTTTGCCTGCTTAGTAACAGATGTGCCCTTGTTTCAGTTTGAAAGAAACCAAAATGATTCAATTTTTTTCTTTTTTTTTATTTCCGATGTTGTCTGTTGTTATAATCAGAATGTGCAATTCATTTATAGATATATTTTAACCAGTTTCCTTACATGTGGTTCAAAGCATGTTCACCTCACTTGACTGTCTAACGACATTGTGTATGAAATATCTCAAGAGATTTTGCCAAACATAAGTCCAAAGCAATTTAGGCAAAATGTAGCAATTTGTTTAGTATACCAAATCAGACAATCTAACTGGTTGCCTATTACTAATTTTGATTAGTACTAGTTCAGTACTTGTTTCTTTACTGACAGTAAGATAATCAAATTTCAAATCTAAATTGTTTGGGCTTATAGCCATATTGTGTTTAAACACTTGTTCCTGTATGATCACCAATGTTAAGCAACATCAGTACCTAGATGGGTGACTGCTTGGGAATGCCAGGTAATGTAAACTTGGATGTTTGGTTAGAATAATGGATAACATCTTGGAATTGGAAATTGGAGAGCCAAATTCTAATTCCATTCAGATTTGTTATATTTACTTCTATGCACATACCCTTGGGAAAAAAATGAATCAAACGCTAACAGTACTCAGTAAATCTGGAAATTTAAATTTTTACAATATTTTAAAACTTATTTTTTTAAAATCTAATTTATTTCATTTTATTATTTTCAGCTTTTTGGAGGCTTATACTTTGCATGAGTATAGTCTACGAGTTGAGCCTTGTCTTCTTATTATTCCAGGTAAGTGTAAAGAATGATTTCCTATTTCATTACCAAGCATGTTCAGTTTAGAGCCTAGGAAACTTAATTTTTTTTATCTCCCTTGATTTGTAATGTCTTCTGGCTCCAAGTGAAAAAAAAACCTGATAAAATTACTGTGTTTATTTGTGTATGATACAATTTAGTACATAATGAAACTCCCTATTTTTCTATGTAAAAAAAATTACCCAGAGAACATTGTGTTAAAGATATCGAAGCCTATTATGAAAATGGATGTTCAAACAGAAATGCATTTTGTGCACCTTGTGTTTTTTTGGTCAACATAATCAACCAACTGAGAGTGCAATTGGAAATGATGTAACATTGTTGTGGAGAAGTTCAATTCCTGTGCACGATGATGAATAAAGTTGTCTGGATTTTTGATCACATTCTCGTGCACTGCAGCAACATTTTCAGCTGAACAGCATAAACAAGCACGCAATGGTGTTTTCACATCAGTTTGCTTGAATTTACAAACAATTTTTCTAATTGCACACTTGAAACTTTAACACGTTGTTTGATGTTAATCTTTCCATGGTTGAAATTGCTAAAGACTTAAGTTGTTAAATCTGAAAGAAAAAGAAAAAAATCGTTAGATGCTTAAACTTAATTCACATTTAAAATCTGTCCAAGTTATTGGAACACCCTTTTATATATATCTCCACATGAAAGAAAGAACAGATGGAGTAAAAATCTACTGTTCATAGCATTTACTTTTAAAAAAGTGCTCAATACAAAGTAGAGCAATATATTATTATTATTTTTATTATAAGAGATTATAATAAAAACATTTTGAAATTGCTACACAAAAGCTTTCATGTTTCAATACTATGATTGTACTTCTTCAGGCCATGGTAAGTAACTGGTGATCAAATGATTTTTAAGGAAATTTAAAAACAAAATGTTATCTCTTTTATAAAAGTTAGGGTGGGGGGAAAGCTTATAAGGTCAGAATTAAAAATAGACTTGTGGGTAGGTTTTGATTAACCAATTAAATGTCAGATCTATGCTCAATAGAAAAGTAAGCTCAGAGGGTAGAGGTGGGGGAGTTATTTTTTCATGTCATGATAAACCGGAACATAGACAGTCATTATCAATGATTGTGGAAAAAATATGTCAGTGACAAATGTATTGTGATTCTAGACAAATATGACATGTTCAATTTTTTGAAAGGGTGTTGATTGGAGGGGTAGAATAATCAGATGTAAAGTTAACAGAAAAAAATTAAAAACAAAAAATTTATACTCAGGAAACTTCTTAAAAGAGCCTGTAGATAAAATTAAAAACATGGAACATCTATATAAGGTATTAATAATATTAACTGAATGGCAATACATAGCAATATTAAAGCTGGATAAACAAAATAAAGTAATTACCTGTAGGACGTGGACCATTAACTACTAATAAATTATGGCTATAAGAAATGGTAATATGTAATTTTTAAAAATTTAACTATATTTTAAGGTAAAAGATAAACTGTGTCGGCAATTTACAGTTAATTCCCTCCCTTGGTTTAATAGAGATTTTTTTGTCAGCAAATTTGACGATTTGTAATTTTTCATGTAAACATAAGAAGCATGGTTCATTTAAAGATTTACAAGTTCTAGTTTTTTAGTTTTTATTTTAAAAATAATAATAATAATACACACACACACACACATACATATATTGGCTGTTGGCTCTTATAAGAAGCTCATCAACCCTTTGATAGGTGTTGTTTTTCATCCTGCAGGAGTTACATGTTGCACTCTTTACCAGCATAAAAACTAATGGAGAGATGTTGACCACCTGTCCATGTGAAAAGGTTGTACTGGGTTACGTTGTACTGGGTTACATGTTATCATTTTTGTTTTAATTTTCTGTGTGCTCATTACCTAGAAGGGTTGGGAGTTATTATATTAATTTGGTACCTTTGAAACCTGCCAATGCAATATGACCTAGAATAAGCCTTGCACAACGTAAAGGAATATTTTTTGTCAGATTTAGCTTGAAGCTTCATGATTGTGATATGTACCACTAAAAATTGACTTGTCCAACTAATTACATGAATTTACCTATCTTGACACTATCACCCACTTTGAAGGGAATTATAAGTTTACTGACTGCAATAGTTGTCCCCAAAATTAATATCTGTTTTTAACAGCAAATCAAGAATGGGAAAATATTGTGTGTCCCAAAATATTTGGTTTATTAAGTCAATTTTTATTTTAAATATTTACATTCAGATTAATATCCTAATTTCTGTTATCACTATGTTTCAACCAGATGCTCTCTAGCCTTCAGGTGTCTGTCAATTCAGGTAACCTTCAGGTAACTTCAGTCTGAACCCTTTATTTAATCTACGGGATAGATTGTTTTCATTCTGCTGCCCATGCCCAGGAATATCTCATCTTGTTCTCATCTATTGCTCACTCTGTTTCCTTTTAGTTTAAATCTGTATTACTCAGCCCAAGGATTGAACCCACAATTATTATTTCACTGAATCGCCAAAACAACAATCCCATGGGAGCACACTGAACATAAAACTTGAAGCCCTGCCTGGCAAGATTTCTTTTTTTAATTGTCATTATTAACTTTATTAACAACATATTTACAACTTTGTTACATTATATTCTATCACCTTTCAAGCAACTTCATGATTCCATCCTCCTAGGACTATTTATTTTTTCAGCAAAAAATTGATTTAGTTGTCTTTTGCCGTTTTCCAGATAATTGAAATTTATTAAGAGAATTCCATAAAGAATGGAATAAAGAGTAATCCAAAGATATGATATCTGAAGAATATGACAAATGAGAGACAAACTTTACAGCTGAGATGTCACAATTTTGGGGCACAAAACAACGTACTCAAGCATTAACTTTGTCTTAAATAACTCCAGATACTTTTTGTTAATTGTTGGTCAGTTGGTGTAATTGGAGACTGTCTCATGTGATAATAACCTAATGCATTAAAATGTTGGTTAGTGAATTTAGTTACATAATAATTGTGAGTTCAATTAGACTGAGTAGAATTAGGACAAGCAGACAGGATATCCCTAGGACTTGAGTGGGTGTGATATCCCTAGGAGTTGAGCAGACGTGATATCCCTAGACAAAGATACACACACACACACACACACACACCTTGAGGAACATATGGTTGCAAGATATCATTGCGGTTTCTATAACAAGCCAGTATTTTTAAGTGAGTAGGTTGTTAGCCTACTACACAACACCCCCTCCTTAAGGATCAGGTTTTGAATTCAGAGTTGTCCTTCTTCTAGACCAGTTGCCACCAAAGGCTATATAACCCGGTCTGCCCTGATATTTACCCATAGTTGGGGTGAAAAGAAGATGATTCATACCTCCCTCAAGGATATCAGCACATAAGTGAATGTAATGAATTCGACTGGAATTCAAAATTAGCGGATCAGATTCCTCAATCTGATCCGCTATCCATTACTCCACTGTACCTCTTCCTAGACAAAAATAACCTAGATTAAATAAAGGGTTCAGTTTTAAATTCCCTGAAGTTTACCTGGATGATAAACAGGTATCTGAAGAAGGCTGGAAGTCACAATGACTTTTCTTTAAAAAAGATAAGGTCAGTAGTCCGAATGTAAATATTTATCTATTTGGTTCTCTCCTCCAAATTCATCATATACACCATCTGCATGTTTCAAATATGGAAATTTTTCATTATGCTTAAGTAGTAAATCATACAGACAAATATGGTCCAGTCTTTTTCTTTTTAATTGTAAGTTCATAAAAAAGTTACACATCAAAGTGACTAACATAACCAATTTGGTGCAAATGACTTTCAACACTTGATTTTGACATTTTGAGTCTGGTGACTGTCCACTGCATTATATAACATTGATTATTCTATCAACCTGGTTGACCCAATTACAGTGCTTTATTCAGCAAGAAATCTCCAGCATGAAACTTTACAAACCACTTTTGACATGTTTGATTATCTCCAGTACCTTCTCCATAATCTATCCATATTTTTAATCACATTTTCCTCTTTAAAAAAAAAATCTAATGACCAAAATGTTCATTTTCTTTTATTTTCAATATTGGAATTTATAAACCAAAAAAATTGCCAATTTGAAAAAAAAAAAAAAAATTCCATGCTTATGCGACAGCTGTCAAGATCCAATGAAAAGAATTTTTATTTGTTTTTAAATGATGTTAGTTAAAACTAAACACTTCTAATGCCTTTTAGCAACAAAAACAGAATGAACATTTTAGAATACTCAATACATTTAAAAAGATCCTATTGACTTTGTTTATTGTTTTTCACATATTTTAAAGCTGCTTAATTTGGCTGACTATTGTTTACCAGGCACATGGTCCTAAAAGAAGACAATGACTTGAATAAAACAGCTGGCTAAGTTGAATTCATAAGCATATGTATAGTGCTGATAATTACGGTGGCAAAGAAGGAATTCAAAGAAAACCTAAGAATAACAACTAATAATTTAAATAAGATAACTTTGCCTACCATTGTGCGGAATTTGTCCTCAATAAACAATTCAACCAAATTACAATTAGTGGTAAAATAATAACAATAGTTCAATTATGGTGATCTGATTGTTCAATGAGGTCAGAGGTGTAATTGTCAAAATATTGTGATAAGATTGCATCACTATTTTAGCCATTTTAGCTTATTCCATTCAGTTGTCTAGCCATGGCCATTACAAGAGTCTCCTTTCCCTATGAATCTATGATACAGGTCCCCCCCCCACTCTGCTGCATCTCAATTTTTATAAAAATTATTCAAGTACAGGTTGGTACAGATGGAATAAAAAATTTCTTTTACTAAAAACACTATTCTTAAAAAAGTGCTCAATACAAAGCAGAGCAAATAATATTTATTCAAAATAATAATATATGCATGTTATAAAATTATTACAAAAATAACCTTTTTGTTTCAACACTTCTGGTGTCTAATCAAGTGGTAGTGATCAACACCATCACTTGACATGACACCAGAATAT